GATGATGTGTGTATGATTTTGATACGTTCTGAAGGTTTCAGTGGTTGTTTGTTTTTCAGTAAGATTATTATTTTATGTGTTGTACCTTCCGGTATTTCTACAGTTAAAGTAACAGTAGTACCTTCTTGAATTTCTTGAGTCGGCAGTTCGACACCTTCTTCGGGCTAAATAACGGAACGAACTGCGTGCGATATTTCACGTAATTATATAAACAGTCCTACCTTTTTCTCTTCTGGTATTTGTGTTACTTCTTTTACTTCTTGGACAACGGTTTGAGGTTGTTCCTGTTGTGGTACAACTGTAACTTTTTCTTCTTCTACAGTAGTTGTTTCTGTTTTGGGTTTCTTTTCTTCAGGAACGACAGTGATTGCTGGTGTGTCGAGAATCAAATGATCTGATTTAAGTGTATAAACACCTTCATCTTCTTCTGGACGAAGATCTTTTACGACAATTGTATATTTATTGTCTTCAACAGTAGTTGTCACACGAGAATCTGGTACAATTGGTTGTTCATTATGAAGAAAGCTGAAAGGTTCTTCAGGTGTAGCATCAAATTGACAAACAATCGTAAGTGTTTCTTTTTCATTGAATTTAACTTTTGGTATTTGTATTTCTTGTCGAACAACTGGTTTTGGAGTGACTTGAAGTTTCATCAATGGTTGTTCTTTTCCATCAACAACCATGGTATATTCACCTTCATCTTCAGGCTTAGCTTTGATAATTTCTATTTTGGTTGTTGTGAGGGAAATTGGTGTTATTTGTAAATGTTCAGTAACAGGCAAAGGTAGACCATCTTTTAAAATTACAAGCTTTGTATGGATAGGTGTTTGTAGAGTTATCGCTAGATTTGTGGTTTCTTCAACTGTTTGTACTGGCACTTCGGCAGGTTTCGATGGCTAAAATAATACGTAGGGATGTAATCGAGTGTTATTCAAAGGTCATGCAATAGTTAAACAGTTAACTCGAAAAAGGGAATAAAATAGATGGTAGGGCGAAAGCTTCTTCACGCCTGGGCTTTAGCATAGAGAGATGATATCTAAAGCGTCTCGTTTATTGCTTTTTTTTTGCAGCGCCATTTGGCGCGCTTACTTTTTCTTGCTCGAGTATAGTCGTTTCGGTAGTGACAATCGCTTGTTCTTCTTCCGTGATAGTTTGTTGAAGATTACGGTTTTCGTCTGAAATTAATTTTTCTGCAACTGTGATAGTTTTCTCTTCAGTAGTGACAGTAGGTGTGTCAGTAGTGATTGTTTCAGTTGTCTGATAGGTAGTAGGCTTCTCTTCTTCCATAATGATTTCTTCTTGAAGTGTTGTGGTTACCTCTTCGCTGGGTCTTAAGTCAGGTTTTCTTTCAATCACTGTTGCAACAGCTTTAGTTTCGGGTGGCTGCTCTTTGATCGTTTCTTGTATAGTAGGCAACTCTGTGACACTCGGTATTTTTTCAGTGGATTTTTGTGTCTCCTGTATCATAGGCATAATATCTTGTTGATTGATTTCTTCAGTGGTGCTAGGCGAAGTTCCTTTAACTGTCGGAGTAGTTTCGGTTGTGATTTCTTCGTCTTTTGTGATGGTTTGCTCAAGTGTTGACTTTTCGATGGAACCTAATTGTACTGCAACAGATTTTCTGTCTTCTTCAGGCATCTTAGTTAGTACTTCTGGAACTATCTCTTCTGTTACAAACGTCTCTTCAGTTGGTTTCGCTATAGTTGGCTTGTGTTCTTCAATGATAATCTCATCTTGAACAAGTGTAGTTACCTCTTCAAGAGGTTGTGGTTCAGGTTTCTTTGCAATGCTTTCTTCGACAAGCACAGTAGGTTCGGTTAGATGTTTTGGTTGTTCTTCTGTTGGTGCTTTCTTTTCTTGAGTAACTTCTTCAGTGATCGTCATTTCTTCAGTAGTTGTTGTAGGAATTTTCGGCTTTTCTTCAATAACTTCTTCAGTAGATGTGACCTTTTCAACAATTAGTTTTTTTTCAGTAGGTTTTTGTGTCTCATCTACTACAGGAGAAACATCTTGTTGAATGATTTCTTCTGTAGTGGTAATAGTTT